GAGCTAATGAGCCTGGCCGGTCCACAGCTTCTCTGTCTGGGCTGGGGTTTGGAGGCCGGGCTGTTACTCTCTGCTCTTTTATGCTCAGGTTGCTTTGATGGGCACTTGGTAGACCTGGTGGTATGGTTCCTTGTCATGCCAGTGTGAGCCCTCCCACTACAAAAACTAAAGAGAGGAGCTGAGGATCTCAGCCCCTCATCTTTAAATAGCCAATTTTCCTTCTGAGGGAAGAGCCCAAAACTTTATTAGCACTCCTTGTGGAATACAATGTTGTTCAACCAACATTAGAATAAAACTCCATGATCATTTTTAGGACTAAGGACTTTGTGCCCCAAGTAATATCTAGAGACCTTCCCAGTTGTTATACTTTACCCAAGTTTCCCTTGGCCATTCGTTAATTAAAACAAAGACTGATGGGCATTACTTATGATGTTTTCTTTTTCTGGATATTTTATCTATTTTTTATTTATCAAGTTTATTGAGGTATAGTTTATAGACAATAAAATGCACTCATTTAAAGTACAGAATTTAATGAGTTTGGGCAAATATATACATCTGGTAACCATCACCACAATCAAGGTATCAAACTGTTCCATCACCACAAAAGGTTCCCTTGTGCCGTTTTGGAGTCAGTTCCCACCACCAAACCCCCACGCAACCACTGGCCTTATTTCCATCACTGTGGATACATGCTGCTTGTTCTAGAACTTTATAGAAATGAAATCATTCCATCTGAACTCTTTTGTTTGAGGCTTATTTCACTCAGCATTATAATGGTTTTGATATTCACCCATATTGTTTTATGTACTGACAATTTGTTATTTTTCATTGCTAAGTAGTATTCCATTGCATGGATGAATTATAAGTGTGTATCCATTTGCCTGTTGATTGACTCTTGTTTCTAAAATTTTGGTACTATGAACAAAACTGCTAAGAATATTTGTGTCTGATGTTGCAGACATGCTTTCATTTCTGCAAGTTAACTCTAGAGAAGTGGAATTGCAGTCCATAGACGTTCTTTTTTTTATTATTATTTTATTTTTTATCCTCACCCGAGGACATTTTTCGATATTTTTGTTCAGATAGAGTGGGAGGGAGGGAGAGAGAGAGAGAGAGAAACATCGATGTGAAAGGGAGTGGCTGCCACCCACACAACCCAACCAGGGCCGGGGACAAACTGCAACCGAGGTACGTGCCCTTAGCGGGCACCGAACCCAGGTCTCTCCAGACCGCAGGCCAACGCTCTACCCGCTGAGCCAAACCGGCCAGGGCTCTTTTCTAAAATCAAAACAATAAAAATATGTCATTGTCTAACAAAATTCATATCACCTTATTTCCACTTGGACATTTAAAAAGAAAAGATGACACCATAAGTCATAGAGCAGCCTACTATTGGAAAAGGGCATGTGGATTTCCTTCAGGCAAGCAAAGTATGACTCTCTTAGGTCAGAGCTTTTTCCTAGCACAGGGAAGGGGCTTTTATTATTATTATTATTGATTTTAGAGAGAGAGAAACATTGATGAGAGAGAGAAAGAAACAGAGAAACATTGATGAGAGAGAGAAATATTGTTTGCCTCCAGTATGCTCCCCGACAGGGGATTGAACCCGCAACCTAGGTATGTGCCCTGTCTAGGAAGAGAGCCCACCATCCCTTGTTGTATGGGACAACATTACAACCAACTGAGCCACCTGGCCAGGGCAGGAAAGGGGTGTTTTTGCTCATGGAGTGGCTGAAAGAAAAATTAAGAGGCAAAAACTGGTCAGGCTGTCAGACAGCCAAGGCCTATGCCAGTGAAGCCTCCGCATTTGAATAACTGGGTGGAGAGCCATGCTCTGCATGGGAGTCTCAGACTATTCCAGCTTTAAACACACACACACAAGCGCTACTCTGAAACTCAGCTGTGAGCTGTTGAGATAAGGCTAGAGTGCAAGGAAGTGCCTGGCAAAAATTAACAATGTGCAAGAAATCATCAGCATTACATATGAGGATTTAAATATAAATATTTAAAAGGCCAATTTCTTTAATATTCCAGTTGTGCTTTCTCACTTGATTATAATAGTTATCCATGACTCTGGCTAGATTAAATCAGCTATAGTCAACTAAATGCATATCAAACGTAAATAATGCCTTACCTTGTTTTCTTTCTCTGCAACTAAATTCTTACATCCCAGAGGAAAATTTTCCATTCGACATCAAAGACTGATTAAACACTTGGCATAGGAACTTAAAAACTGACTGCGTAATTTTATTTTACATATACATGTTAGATAAAAAATAAACAAAAAACACTTCCTCTGGGTGCTGAACATTTGGAGTCAAGTCTTCTAAAAGCCAAAGAGAATAGGGAAAATATTAACCACTTTATGGCTCATCAATATGTCTCAGAATCTTATGTCTCCAACTTTCATGATTAAGCTAGGTGATCGCTCATTGTCTTGTAGTTACCCACCATTCTTCTCATCAATCATTAACACAAAGGTTACATTTCCATAGTTCTAAGTCTCTCTTTTAAATGTAATATTTAAGAAAGAATAGAATTTAGAAAATATAAATTTATAGAGAGGAGTACCTAACGAAGTGTTTAAAGTATTTTACAAGGAAACTGGCCCAACAGCTTATTATGGACATCTAAGTAGTGTTTCCTTAGAGCTCATGCTGCATGGTGGTCAAAGGAGTAGATCTGACCATTTCCAGTCTGGTTGGTAAATCAATACATGGTCTACCACACTGAAACCTCCGCGACAAGAGACAAACAGAGAGGCAAGACGGGCTCCAGCACAAGTCTCCCAGCAGCAGCTGGAGCCTGTGGAGTAATTAGGCTCCTGCAGCTCACAATAAATAGCACAGAGACACACAAATACTCTCTGCCTCACTTGACATGCTTGTGTTCCTTGCACATCTATTGCACCTACTACCACCTCCAAATACATACACTCCAATGAAAGTGGAAGGGGTGCTGCACTAGTTAGCAGGAGCTTTAGAGTCCTGGAGCAAATTACTTAATGCCTTCGGCTTCTCATCTATAAAATGAGTAATAAGTACTTTTCATCCTTACACCCAGATTTCTTGATCCTAGACTACCCATTCAACATCTTGTCCTGGGGCTTCCTCTTTACAGATAGCTCCGGCCCCCCTCCTACAGAGCAATAAGCCATCCATATCAGGTGCTACCCAATGGCCTCACTCCCAGTTTTATATTCTTGGAGAGAAAGGCCCATGGCATATTTCTATGCTTCCAAATTCTATTTGTAGAAAATAACAAATAATATTTTAAAGAAATGCCCGAAAAAAGTCTAAGATACAAATCCATCCAATATACATATTTGTGGGTTTAAATTTTTTTTTCTTTATTGGTTTTAGAAAGAGAGGAAGGGAGAAGGAGAGAGAGATAGAAACATCAAGGAGAGAGAGCATCGATTGGCTGCCTCCTGCAGGCCCCCCACTAGGGATTTAGTGCCTTGACTGGGAATCGAACCAGAAACCTCTTGGTGCATGGGTCGATGCTCAACCACTGAGCCACACAGGCCAGGCCCAATATATATATTTGTTTGTCAATGACACCTGTTACCAGATGGCTGCCACAACACCATTTTAAAAGGTGGCAGATGCCAACCTTAGGAGCAACAGGTGCTAGTCTCCTTACAGCTGAAGGAGGCAACACAAGCTCTAACAGCTCAGTCAGGGAGATGTCAAATGCAAATTTGGGCTGAGATGACCAGCCAGGCCATGAGACACTTTGAGGAGAGAATTCAACTACTGCCAGAGAGTGGTCCTCCCATCATGCACCCATGAGAATGCACCTCACAGACCTCCAACTACAAGGAGCATAACTGGCTGGGGCCCAGCTGCTGCGCTCTGAAATGCATTCCTGGGTTCTCCCAGTGGCTGCTGCGCCTCCCCAGGGGCTACTGCCAGAGTGCAGCGTTACAAAATCGGGTCTGTGATGGCAGAGGTTGCTTAAGGACTTCCTGAGGCCTTGGCTACCTTTGTCTGCCTAATACACCATCAAATCTCTTCCCTTGGAATAAAACCTAAGTCATGGCCTGATGGTTCTCTCAGCCTTTCCTATTTCCTTTCATGCAAGCATTTCCCATAATAATATCTTTGCACTTTTAGTCCCAACTTGGCATCTGCTTTTCAGAGGTCCAGGCTGACATATCCTTCACTCGTGTATTCATCCATTCATTCATTCATTCATCCACTCATTCATTCATTCAAGAAACACTTACTGAGCGTCAACAGCGTCCTGGCACTTTGTCCTAGGCACTAGGGAAAGTGGTACCAGATTGGGGAGACCCTTACTTTCATAATCATCCCCTCAGAGTCATAAACTGCTTCGCTTTCTTTGGCTCTTACTGTGCTGGGCACTGAGTAAAAGCACACCCCATGGCCAGTCTCCTGTGTTTTCACAACCCCTCCAGGAGGTATTATTCCTGTTCCATGGAGAAGGAGAGATTCAGTTGCCAGGGGCCTCCCTGACAGCCAGCGTTTTCACTCCGAAACTCGATTCTTCAACCATGAGGCAGTGACATACCTACCCTATTGGGTGAAAGCGCTGAGCACTTTTTTTTCTGGCAGTGATTACACATCCAGATAGTTAATTTTCCAAAGCCCGACTTCATTTCTTCACTTTAAATTTATGAGGCTGGGAAAACCGTTCACAGGAGGGAAACAGTGCTTCAGAGCACTCACAGCCCTGCGCGCCCCAGAGTCAGTGAAGGCAACATTGCTTAACCCACGCAGAGGCGGTCCCCCGCCAGGTGTGAGCTTCCCGCTCAGCTCACCATCACAAAGAAAACAAGAGAGGAAAGGCTAACCCCTCGGCTTCTCTGCTTTTCATTCTGGTCACAGCCCAGCTCTGGCAAAGCTGATGGGCAGTGGTCACATACATATAGGGCTTCTCTCTCAGGGGCCATCCAGGCCTACCACAGGGCCAGCTACATCAACACATGTGTCAACTGAAAGCACCCTTCTGAACACAGATGCAGACTCACATACCATGATCCCCAAAGTCCGCCGTGGTGTCCTCTACACTCGCCTCCAGCACACCGAGGTCCGGGCAAGGAATGGGCTGAGACTCAGGCAGGTTCTCTGAAGTCCGGCGGTCAGATTCCTGTGGGAGGTAATTAACAATCCATGAGAAACATGAAAGTAAACAGTGCTACCACAAATGAAACAAAGTTCTTATTTAGAAGACTATTTAAAACAAAAACCTACCTAATCCTCTCCCTTAAACATGTTAACATTTTTTTTTTTTTTTATCCTCACCCGAGGACATTTTTCCACTTTTTGTTCGGATAGAGTGGGAGGGAGGGAGAGGAAGACAGAGAGAGAGAGAGAGAAACATCGATGTGAAAGGGACACATCGAGTGGCTGCCACCCACACGACCAACCAGGGCCAGGGACAAACTGCAACCGAGGTACGTGCCCTTAGCGGGAACCGAACCCGGGTCCCTCCGGACCGCAGGTCAACGCTCCAACCACTGAGCCAAACTGGCCAGGGCAAACATGTTAACATTTTTAAATTTCAAGAAGGATGGGAAACTGCCTTGAATAAACTGGGCCAACCGTTTTGACCTCCAGAGACCTCAGTTCAGGGTATGACTAGGAGGGGGCAAGTGGAAGCCCAAGGTGCAAAATTAAAGGAGACACTGACTTCCAGGTGCACGCAAGAGCAGGCTCGATCCGTAGCTGAGGACAAGTGCCTCCTTCAAATGTGCACCCAGGGCCTCACACTCACCTCACTCTAGTCCAGCCCTGCACAGTTTCCTCATCTCAAAATTTGAGGTATTGATTTGGATGACTTCCAAATTCTCATCTAGCTTTAATAGTTCTATGAATCTATACATTCCAATTTCCTAAAAGAAAGAGATCTAAAGGACCACATTAAAGAATTCATACTTCAAAGTTAAATTTCTGAAATATACCAATGTCATTTTGCTTTTTTTCCCGTTGTGTGTGTGTATATGTATTTACAACCTATAGCTAATGCTGACTTGACCTATTTTCCTTGCTATATGGCCTTCATGGAGAACTACTCCAAGAGTCTTCTTATTAAAATGTCTTCTTATTAAAAACAGAAAGAAGAGTTCAAACTAATCTTGAATAAGTAAATGAAAGCCGTGACATACTGTGATGCAGCGTTTGAAAATCTAGTCGTAAAATATTTTAAGGAGTCCATTGGTTGTACTGTATAATAACTATTGCATGAGGTGAAACTGATTTCAATTTCAAAGGGTCAGTGATAGCACACAGAGAACTTCAAGAACAAAGACTAGAGACTGCATGAAATGTATTTTATGTGTACTTCAGAAATTATTTGAAAATAAGTATTTGGACTCTCAGTTGACTTTGATTTGCGGAGGTTCTCTTTGAGGAGAAGAGAGAGAATGGCTGTAACTGTTTCTCTTAGAAAGAGGACTTGATCTGATCTCTGATCTGCATTACTATTTCATGTACGGAGACCTGCTTTTCACAGAAACCCATTCCCATACCTTCCCAACGGTGTATGCCACAGGGTAAGACAAAGACTGGGCTCATTGTGTGATGGTATGTGGTTGTTTTGAAGCTACCATCCTTTAAAGAAACAGTGCCCAACTCGATTCTGCATTCTGACTGCCAAAATAAAAGGCCCTGCCACTCTCCTAAATGCCTCAAATTTTTTAATAACATGTTTAAGAGGTGACGGCCAGCCCATTCCCTCCCCTAACTCTGATTCTATCTCCTACCACTGCTTTTGAAATATAAAGTGTTTTGCTTCAGCTGACAAGAGAGAAGAAAGAAGAAGCTCCAATGAGATTAGGAAGAAATTAAGTCATAAATATGGGTATGGGCAAAGACAGGAACATTTTCCTCTTCTTTCTTTTTCTCCTTTACCAAGTTTTTTCTTTAGCGTCTTGTGTCTGGCTAATTCAATTTCTTTCTGATATTTTACCTTTCTCAGCTCAGTGATGCCTTTCCTTGAGTGTTTAAAACCCTTCAGTCCCTCAGCAAAGTGTTCGGCTTCCCGTTTTCTCCCTCCTGTTTCTCTGAATGTTATTAAACCTGCCTCGCTCTTGTGCCTGTGAACATGATTAAACTTGCCTCCTCACCTGGCCTGCTCTCCGCAGCCACCTCCTGGGGCGAACAAGGAAGCCCTCCCTCAGGGCGCTCTGGCTTTTCTTCCATTCTCATTAAATGCTTTTTTCCCCTAAAGAGATTGTAAGAAGGTCTATCCATAGGTGGCTTTTCCATGTCTTCCTTCATCTGAAGGAGAACATTGCTTTGAAGAGCCTCGATTTCTGTCCACTGTGGTCCTGGACCAGCAGTATCGGAATCACCAGGAAGCTTGTTAGGAATGCAGTATCCCAGGCCCCACCCCAGTCCAACCCAATCAGAATCTGCATTTTAACAAGACCAATAGATGATTTTGAAGTTTGAGAAGCATTGCTATAAGCCATAAGAATTTGGAGGAGGGCCAGTTGATTGCGGACCTGAGAGGTCAAAGGTTTTCCCAAAGAGGAGGTGACATTTGAAAGGGAGGAGGTGGGATACTATCAATGGGCCAGAGGAAAATGACTGATATAATTGCACAAAAGAGGAAAGAGACCTGGGGGTGGGTGTTGGGAGGAGCTAAGCAACTGTCTTTTCCAGAGCCACACATCTGCCTGGAGCATTTCCTGCCCCGTCATATGCAGACTTAGGAGACATGCTATTGGAAAGTTCAGGGCCAAAGATGCTGGTGATACTAAATCTTAGAAGAACAAAGAATGAACCAACATCTCTGGCCAAGACAGCATCAGGCGCTTCCTCTCCTGCTCCCTTTGCCTCTTGCTGATGGAAAGAGGATGACACTGGGAAGAACTAGACAATGTGGAGTCGGGATTTCATAAAATCGTTGTGAAATCCTCTTTGTCTCAATTGGGCCAAGATCTGGACTCTATCTGGCTCCCGTGTTCTATGGGATAGTATATAGCTAAGAAGATCTCCTGGAATTCTGCCCACATTATGGTCTCAGTCTTATCTCAAGTTACTTGAGGATCCCCCAATGACCCTTGTTTATAGGAGAGATAAGACCTACTGCACTGTAGTTGTTTAACATTGATAACAGTCATATCAAACGTGAAGAAAAACAAAAGAGTTAAGTAAATGATCTGACACTTAAATATAAGATCATGCTTGAAACTACACTTTTATTCGCCATATGGTAACTATAAGCATAAAGAAAGTTATTTTGTTTTTGTTTTTTTAAATTGAGGTAACAGTGGTTAATAGCATTTACAATTTTCAGGTGTACAAGATTATAATTCAATATCAGTATACTCTAAAAATAATACGATATCTGTACTTATAACTTTCTTATCTTAGGGGGTAAAACCCCTTAGAAGCAGGGCCCCTGAACATTTCAGAAAAAAGTCCCAGTTTCTATCAGCTGATTGAACAAGCAGTGTACACATATTAACAAACAGAATTCTTACGTCCAAGTTCTTGTGAGGACCTGTGGGAATTTGCAGTCTAAACTGTGGGGAAGAAAGCCAACATCATGGGGAAGACAACCACCTTCGCGAGTCACATTTCAGGGCCTGGTAAAGGTCTGGGGAGCTAGAAAAAGGCACTCAAGCTCGGAGGAGCGTCAAGTGGTGGCATCGAGACCCTTCTCCAGGCAGGCATCCAGCACTGCTGCTGACCCTACACCCCTCCAGCCAGCAATGTCTTCATTCAGCAGGTTTCCCATCTCCCATATCTCTGAGGCCTGCAACAGATCCCATAGCTGGCTTCACTTAATGAAGTAGGAGATGGGTAGAAAAGTGGGGGGTTGGGGGGGATTGACACATATCACCAACATCCCCACACTCTCTGCAAGAGTCCAACAGAGGGAGACTCTTAAGGTCAGAAAAGGCTGGGCCCCCATGTCTGGTCCAACTTTGGTTTTCAGAACTCTAAAGCACTCACAACCACTAAATGATTGAGAAAGGTGAATAACCTCTCAGGGGGAGTCACAAAACAAGTGTCCTCAGCTGCACCTGGCTGAGAGTGCGTGCGCTCTGTGGACAGCTCCTGCACACGCCAGGATTTGGAGCCCTCTGAGTACTGAGTTACAGCAGAATGAGCATCCTCAGACTTCAGGGATCTTCCCCACAACCTCAGAGGGCTTGGTTCTTTCTGCTGGTGGAAGGAATCTCTCTCAGATGCAGGGATCTCCAATGAATGAACAAACAGAATTTGAGAAAAGAAAAATGACTTCTTTCCAAGATGCTTTTACCAGAAGAGCAAGGGGTTACTGTCGATGTCTGTTGTGCAAATATGACCCTGAAGAAAGACTACCTGAAGTATCAGAGCCTACACCAAGGCCTATTTTTAACCATTAAAGAAAATAGTATTTGCTATCCAGGGTCTTGGGATGCAGAGGACATGGATTGGGGGTTCATTTCATGTGAATCTGCAACCCTATTTATTATTGGATATCTATGGTAATTCTTCAAAGTTTGAATGGGATTATTAACACAAAGCATTTTATAGATGAGAGACAAAATAAAAAGGGAAAGAATAAAAACTAAGTAAACAAGAGAACAACGGATTATGGAGATAAAACAACAATAGCATGACTTAAATTCAAAATTAGATATACACATATTTGTTCTGCAAGGTCATAATTTTAACTCATCAGTTGTTCATTCAGCACTATTGTATACAGTAGGCACTCAATATTTGTTGGATAAATCAATTGCTCCATTTCTTTTTTTTTTTTTTATTTAATTTTTAATCTTATTTTATCCTTACCAGAGGACATTTTTGCATTTATCTTCACACATCGAGTGATTGCCACCCACACGACCCCAACTGGGGCTGGAGACAACTGCAACCAAGGTACGTGCCCTTAGCGGGAACCGAACCCAGGACCCTGGTCTGCAGGCCGAAACTCTAACTGCTGAGCCAAACCAGCCAGGGCCAATTGCTCCATTTCTAAGCACAAGTGCTTTGAATCAGTGTTGTCCTAACTGTCTAAAATGAATCCCAGTATATCCTCCCTGGAATTGGGCAAAGTAGGTCTGGATGCTTTTTTTCCTACCTATCCCTCTTCCTACCCAACTGGCCACATGATTCTAAAAAATCTGAAAAGGTTTTATGTAAAATATAAAATAAGAGTACTTACATGGAGTACATCAACAGTTAGCTGCTGAAAATTCCGATATCTCAATTCTTGCATTCGTCTGTTATTTTCTTCATATTTTTCTTCCACAAGCTTTCTGAAAATTTAAAGTAAACAAAGAAAAATAGCCACAATTTGCTAAAACCACACCCATATTATAGGTAAGTGTGATCGCTGCTTCAACAGACAAACTGGGGTGTTGGAAAGCCAGGCTAATGGACCTTCCTCTCATGAAGATGTGTGTACAGGGCAACCCCCTTCGATACTCCTTTAAAGCACACACAAGGATCCTTCAGAACTTCTAAAACACAGGAGACAGGACTGACCCTTGTGTGCTCTCTGACTGTAATGACGGGTGTGTGACCCTGATGCCCAGAAGACTGCCTAGCACATATTAATAACTCGATAACTGCTTTCAGAATGAAATAAAAACACAAATAAGAAAATGGAGCAACATTTCAAATAATGTATGAAAAATCACTGTGGAGGGGAATTGTTCTCAGACACATTTTCTTTGTTTTCTCTACTACAGGAGAGTTGAACTTAATAGATCTGTTACTAAACTGGAAGACTGATTTGAGTTCTTGTGATTACTTGTGTGCTAATTTATATTTAGATTTTTTTGAAAAGTTACTGAACATCCCTGTGATCAAATTTTCTTGTCTATAAAATGAGTACATTATAACACTTTGGACAACAGAGCCATTTTCTAGCTAAAACATATGACCGCTCTCGAATGCCAGGAAAAATATTAAATGTCACGTAAAAGATATAAATTTCTTTTATGTATAAAAAACAGTTTTAATATGAAAAAATAATTTGTAATATGGATGTAATTAAATAGCCCCTTTAATCTATTCCTATTAGAGATGTAATTTTCCTTTTACCCTCAACCAAAGACATGAATTATGATGACCTGAATATATTGCCATTTCTGAAGTATCAGAAACAGATTTGAGACAGTGAGTTGATACAAGAGTGCAACAATTTATGTGAATATATTTTCTCAGTAAAACTCACACTCAGTGGTACAGTAGTTTGCAGAAACCAACTTGTACTGGCTCCTAAGAGCAGACTGTATACATATCTTCCCAAATGAACAGTCAATGATAATCATATTGGTAGCTTGAAATTGGCCATAATGAGAGTCTTTACACCACAGAAATCAGCGAACAAATTAGCAGTCACTCCCCTATCCCCACTTACCTCACAACCACAGGGGTGCTTGTTAAACACTGACCAGTACACTACCACCCATAGACACTTTGAAGGAAGTTGTTTTCCACATTCATTAAAGAAAACATGTCTTAAGGGAAAAATAATCTCACAAATTCTTACATGGTTCATTATGATATTCGTTGTAAGTACAAGGATACACCTAAATAATTTTTCAGATACTTTGACAAGGTCTTAAAATGAACAGATTTTAGTTTCAGATCTTTTCTGTCTTCCCAGTTCTTGCTTGGGGCTTCTAAGCTACCAAAAAGTTGGCAGAAGAAGAGAGAAGAAAAATTAGGAAATCGAATAACCCACCAACTGAGAAATCTTCTTTGAGAAAGTGGATTCCCCTTTTCCGTGTAAGTACTCTACTTACTAGTGATCTTTCCCGCCAGCAGTATTGCCCTGAGCATACATTTCGAAGGGCTTCCTTGACAGAAGAGAGCAGTTTCTAAACCACTTCCGCAGGCCAATAATTTCCTGCCAGTACTTTCTTCTCCCTACAGGTGGGCCAGGCCTTCTGGCAGAGGAGATACAGCGAACTGCTAGGGAATGAGGACCAGACCTGAAGGCGTCTTCTCACCCTCTCACTGGGCTATGTACAGAAAGTGTCAGCTACAATGAGGCTTCGTTTGGAGGCCGATGATATTATCACTAGTAACTTCCCTGGTATTCAATCTTTCTTTTCACACAAGACTAAGAGCCTAATATTATTAATAAGGCCTGGCATCCAATCACCATCTGTGGCTTAATAACCATCATTTGAAGGAATGCGTGAATAAAGAGATTACTTGTATAATGAGTGCATGCGTTTAGTTTTCCTGTTTGGGCTTTTCTCTTCTTCAGTCAATTCCTTCAGCGCCCTGGGAATGGCTGAAGGGCTGGGTGCCCTAGGAGGGCCGCTTACTTCAGCTTGCTGGCCTCCTCGTCAGCTGCCTGGAGCTTCCTCAGCCGCATCCGTTCTCTCGGTGTCATTTTCTGCACTTCGGAGAGCGCCCGCAGGGTCTGCAGGTGGGTCTGCTTCTGCCTGGAGGAACAGATTCCCCGCACAGAACACATTCTAAACATGCTCAGAAAAATTAAACAAATATTTTACAGAAGGATCATTACACTACTGAGAAGGGAAAAGCATCTCAAGACAGGCCAGGCAAAAACTAATCAAGTCTGGGTAGGTAATGAGCCAACCAGGACTGTGGTTAATTGGCAATATTTTTTCAAATTAGATTTTTGTTTAAAAGCAAATTATGTACTTTCTGAATTTCTGCTCATTTCATTGCCTATGACTGGTTTTCATAATGTAAGAAAAATTAGGATCTTGGCCACTAAGAAATAAATAGACAGGCAGACTAATTCGACCATGTGGCTAGAACAGTCTTTGGAAATAGGCAAGGGTTGACTCCCATGTGCACCCTCATTCATTAGACCTGTAGCCGTGGGCAAGTTACTGAACTTCTCTGAACCCCAGTTTTCCCATCTATAAAGAACGGGTTATAGAGAATATTCTATGAGAGAATGTATATACAATGTCTGACATAAAAAGAATCCAAAATGATGGCATTATAATAGCTAAATATTATTGAATATGTCTTATATTATAGGCTTAATACAGTAGGGATTTTCATGGCAGCATGGCATAGTGGTTAACTGTAAGGATTAATAAGATTCTCTGAGTTCAATAACAGTCTGAGGAATACGGTAGACCCAGAAACATGGAAGTAGGGCACAGACTGACATCCCTCAGAAGAGGGGGTCGGGGGGGTGGGAAGAGATAAACCACAGAACTTACATGCATGACCAATGGACATGGACAACTAAGCCGGGGATGGGGCAGGGGTGGGGTGGGGAGGGGGGGTGCCAATGGGGTAAAAAAGGTAAAATATCTGTAACAAAAACATAAATAAAAAATTAAAAAAAAAAAAAGATTCTCTGAGTTCAAATCCTATATGCCTTTGGGCAAGTTACTTACATTTTTATGATCATTCAAAAAAATAATAGTAGCCGCCCTGGGTTTGACCCAGCAGTACAGCATCAGCCCCCAGACCAATGAGTCCCAGGTTTGATTTTGGCCAAGGGCACATACCTCGTTTGCTGTTCATTCCCAACCCTGGTTGGGGTCATGCGGGAGGCAACCGGTCGATGTGTCCCTGTCGTGTTGATGTTCCTCTCTCTCTCCCTGTTTCTCCCTCTCTCTCTGCCTGAAGATAAATGGAAAAATATTCTTGGGTGAGGATTGAAAAAATAAAATAAGATAATAGTACCTACTTCATAGGGTTGTTTTGAGTTTAAATAAGTGAATTCAGCCCTGGCCGGTTTGGCTCAGCGGTTAGAGCGTCGGCCTGCGGTCCAGAGAGACCTGGGTTGGGTTCCCACTAAGGGCATGTACCTCGGTTGTCCCTGGCCCTTGTCGGTCGTGCGGGTGGCAGCCACTCGATGTGTCCCTTCACGTCGATGTTTCTCTCTCTCTCTCTGTTCCTCTTTCTCCGTCCCACTCTACCTGAACAAAAAATGGAAAAATGTCCTCGGGTGAGGATAAAAATAAAATAAAATAAAAAAATAGGTGAATTCATGTAAGGTGCCAAGCATACGGTCATTGCCCCGAAAATGTTAGCCAATATAATCAAGAGCTTTTTTCTTTAAAGAAATGTGCTTACACTAATCATGTGTTGAAAGGTCTACAGCCACATTCTCAGTGACATTTGTTTCTGTGCCTGACTTGGTTAGGGCCCAATACTACAGAACGCAGTAAGAAAGCAATAAGAAAACTGTAGTGACCATTGTAGGCAGGTCTCATCCCTCCAGCATACCATCCAGACCACAGCCTCCAGGGGACGTGCAATTTTCAGGAATAAACATTCCTCGTTTTGTAAGACCAAATAGCTCTCCTTAAAGCACAGTCATAGATCTTAAAAATAACCGTGACGATTTCACGTCAATATTTCATAATGTGAAATACCATCCAAACAACTGAATTCTAGCACACTTTAATTGTAAGCAACATTTCATAATTACAGTGCAAAATGATAACTAAAATTAGTGCAGTATTTTATTTTATTATTATTTTTTAATCCTCACCCGAGGATATTTTTCTATTTATCTTTAGATAGAGTGGGAGGGAGGGTGAGAGGAAGAAACATCGATGTGAGAAAGACACATCGACTGGCTGCCTCCTGCACGACCCCGACCAGGGCCGGAGACTAACCACAATCAAGGTATGTACCCTTGTCTGGAATTGAGCCTGCGACTCATTGGTCCCCAGGCCGACACTCTAACCACTGAGAAAACCAGCCAGGGCTTAGTCCAGTATTTTAAAAATAAGTTATCTACTACTCTCACATCTCCAATTAATAAAACAAAATAAAATTAGAATGTCTAGGCTTTCATGAAAGAATAGGTAGTAACCCATGAAAACAAGGTTACAGGAGTGTGCCTAAAAAATGTATTCCCCTGAAGTGCAGTCCACTTTAACTGCATGCATTAAACAAAGACTAAATATCTTTGATGGACCAGTGTCCTCATTTTGAATGTGAAGATGGAAAACAAATGATATAGTTGACAAACCACTGGACTGGGTATTAGAGAAACACTTTTGTGCTCTTTGGCCCTGAGGGCTGCTGTTCTCCCCCACTGCCTTGCACAGCTCTGCGCGGGGACTGCCATTCTCGTTGGATCTTTAAAAATTAAAGAGTTCCTTTAGCAAAATGATAAATTTGGACTTTATAATCAGCGCCCCCTGGAGTTGTGCAGTACACAGTCTGCACAGCTGTACATGGCTGTTGGCAGTAACCTAGCATTCTGGGCTCTTATAAGTCATAACACAGAGAATTTGATGAGGTAGAGGACAGAAGTTAGGCCAGAAAATAATTATGGTCCTATTGAAACACACATTCTCTAGTTCTTAGATATATCTCTAGAAATAGAGACTATCTCGAGAATTTTGGCTTATTCTCAACTATCCCAAGACTCCACGGTGTTATCTTTTCAATAGATATTCAGACAGTTCCTGTTAAACAAACAGGTGAAACCCATTTATGCTTAATATGGAGGTGTATTAGCATGTACATCACTAAAGATTTGAGCTATTAATTCCTCTACATACTTACAAGGCAACTGCAGAGCTGCCCTGCAGATCTGTAAGCGTGCAGTGGTTTAAACTTGTATTTTGTCAATCTGCTCCCACCTGGGACAAAGAGCTTTGGAACACCAAGTTGCCGAAGCTCCTAAATTTCTTGGCAAGACTTAAGTGAATTTGAGGGTACTCCATGCAGTCAGCTTAGCACTAATCGACTTTTAAAGACAAATGCATTTAATATTTATGCTCAGCGGGCTTATTAAAAACAAAGTAATTACTTACATGGCATCAATTATTTGAGCAGCTTCCTTCTGACAATTTAAATTCTTATCTTCTGGACTCATTTCTGAATGCCTACACATCAGGTGCTGAAAAAAAAGAACAACCTTGACACACCAAAGACTCCTCTTCGGGGATGGAAGGGCATAAAACTGCCAGGTGCCCTTTCTAATTTGCACTGTTACTGACCATAGCTGGGAGCTTTTTTTCCTTCTATAAAGGGTTATAAAACATTACGTCGTCACGTATGCAACCGGATTCTGAGAAGTAGGGGTCCTGCCTACCTCTCCAAGCTGGTCTTGCACTGCCTGTTCTCTCCCCCCTGCTGCGCGGCAAGGGCAGGCCTCCGGCTCGAGAACACGCCTCTCTCCACCTCGGGCTCTGTGCTGGACAACGCCCACACTCCCAGAGCCGGCACCCATCTAGGAGCAAAACTTAAGGGGCACCAAAGAACCCAGTAACCAAGGTAAAGAATATTTTAATGTGAGACTTAAAACACACACACACACACACACACACAAAACCAAAATTAATGCCCCTAAGCCATGAAGAACACAATATCAAAAATTTAATTAAAGACAGGATCCAACCGTGAATTTGCACCATTCCACCCCACTTGCCTTATCCTAATCCTAGCCCAGTTGGATACTATCCTGAAACTTTTGATATTTCATTACCATGGATATTTAGCATTCATTTAGATTTTTAAAGATTGCATTAAAATATTATTTATCTTGACCACTGAGTCTTTGGTGTCCTCTTCGCCTGCCTCACCTTAGTCCCAGAAGATCCCCATGGATCCCTTTTGACTATTTTTTGTAAGCTCACAGCCTCTTAAGTGTGGTTTCGTCCAATGGGCAGCACTTGTGCCTCTTTTCAAGCCGATGGCCCTCGGGCTAGAGAAGCCAGCTGTGCCTACACAGAGGGAGAGCTGGAAGCACCAAGGAACTTCACCTCCTCCCCTCTCCTGGCCCGCCTGCCCCACTTCCTGGGGCTTCCCTGGCAGCACATTCTTGCATAAGGACCCTCTCCTCTATGTCTCCCTCTCAGGAACATGACCTGATTCAGGGCACCCTCAGGCTCTTTACATGGCTGTCTGCTTCTCATATGTCACTGGAGTCAAAATGTCACCTACTCCTTCTTTGATCAGCAACCCCCCTCCCCCCCACACTTATTTTACAGCATCTTATTTGCTTTCTTCCTGGTGCTTGTGAGAATTTATCATTATTTTATTTGGTTACTTTTCCTTGGTTATTGGGTTCTCTCACTAGCAGCCAAGCTTCCAAATGACAGGAGCCATATCTGTCCCTTTCTCTCTGCACCACCAGTGTCCCCCACGGTCCCCCACTCAACTAGTGAACGCACATCGAGTCAGCATCCAGTTTCCTGTGGACGGAGAGCTGGACGCTGACGACAAGGTGTGCACACTCTACAGGTGGAAGGATGCTTTGGACTTGAATTAAAGATATTCAGAAAATTCAAGAAAATTTGCCTGAGGAGTTTATATTGTAAAAGCCTAATAAGTTTAAAAAACAAGACCAAAAACCCTCCTGAGAGGTATCATATGTTTTTTTCTTATCCCTGGAGGCAAATTCTCTACATCCAACTTCCTAATTTACAGGAAAACAAAATAAACTCACCTAATCAATACAAAGTATCATTGAGATATATAATAAAGAAGTAGAATAATAAAGGCTCTGAAAATCCCAGATTTCATTATTAGTAGTATCACATTATTGGCCTAGCAGGGATATATTTACAAAGTGTTGAGGTATGTAAGATCTGTAAACCAAGAGCCCTAATGCTGGATGTTGAGTTTAGGCAGAAAATCACAATCCTACTATCTGGGTCACCAGGAAACCAGAGTTCACATACTTTCTTATACAAAGAAATTGTCCTGACTAATAATATCCCTCAGCTTTAAAAAAAATCTGTGTCTCCTTTCTAACTGATTCTTAATGTATCTTATTCCCACAGCATATCTTCAAGTCCTAGGACATACACAGAGGCTAATTAATATGTTTCCCAGTATCCCCTTCATTTTAAATACCTGTAGTTGTTCATCAATGTAAGGGATTTTTAAAATTTCTAAAGCAGATGGTCTCAGTGAAGGATTCTTGTTCAACATGCTGTAATGTTTAAAAAGAAAATAATTTTCAGATGAACTAAAATATAAGTACAATTTAAAATAGTTTCAGTGGCAGCACATTATCTCCATACCGTTCCATGATGGCATTCAGCTCTCTCGGATATCTCCTAGGGAGAGAAGGAGTGTCGCCTTCAACAATTTTTAAAACAACGGACAAGAAATTGGAGCCAGCAAAAGCATGATTCATGCAGCACATCTCATATAAAATGCATGCCAGAGACCTGAAGACAAAGTCAAAGAATTTAAACATGGAGCAAATGTTCTCTTAAACACTTTTTTCTTTCAAATTTGATCATCATACAAAACCTCAGATGTGGTTGGGCACTGGTTGTGACACACTAACAGATACTTCAGTTGTTCATTTAAAAGACTCAGTTCCATAACGTTCTGTTCCATTTAAATACATACCTACTAAAAACAAAAACAAAACAAACAAAACAAAACAAAACAAAAAAACAAGGAAAAGGTGAAAGAAGAGAGCACAACATCACATCTAAGTCTGAATGGCCACTCTTTGTCAAAAAAGAGCAGACAAACCAATAGATATATGCCTGCACATAGTAGGGACCAAATAAATAATTGATCAATGTAGTAAGGAATTTCTGAATTAACCTCTATAAAGGAAAAATAAAATGCAGCTAAATATCATCTTCCTAAGGCAGTTTTGGTAATGTTACATATGCAAAATAAAATTTTAATTTATCAGCCTAACCTTCCCTCTAATGTGTATCCGAGCATTTTGAAAAGGAAACTCATTCTTTATTAGTTTTTTAATAGAATCCATTTAAAGTAGGGTGGAAGAGCAGCTACTTGCAGCTCACAGGAAAATGGAGAATTCTTCCTTCGGGGTATAAAACAGAATATTAAAATTCTAGATCAGTCCAACACTGATTTGGATTAACCATGCAAATCGGTAACTCCTAAACCAACAGAATAATCTTTCAAATGATTCTATGTCATTAAGAAACTAAGGGGAAATTCCTGCCTGAACTTAATGTTAAGAAAGAACTATACTTCTCCTGAATAATGTATTACTCTAAATCTTTTGAATTATGTAGCTGGCCAGGTCTCCCTTTTCATGTTACTTGCTCAAAAGATCAGAAATAAATTTACGATTGACCTTATGTAAGTTGTGCTTTATGTAACTTTTAACATTGTCCTACTTTCTCATAAAAGGCAGTGTATGTATAAATAAATACATACATGAAAACCACCATTTTAACCATTTTATGAGTATTCGTGAAAAGGTGCATTTGTAAGAGAATATACACTGAAAATGTTTCTATTCCCGTAAATAATAATACATTTTATTTACTATTATCTGGAAACTAAAAATTTCCAACTGATTAACACTTTACATGTTACAAAGCACTTCCATATATACCTCAACAGAGCCTCATAATTTCACAGTGATTTCCCATTTTATACATGAGGAAACTGGCTCAGGAAACTTAAATCACTTGTCAACTTCATAAGACATTTTACTTTCCAAATTCTGGACTATTTCCATTACAGAATGCTACAATAATGGGGGATGTTAGAAGAAATCACATGATACTGACTAGAACACCAAGATCAATGTAAAAATTATAAAATATGAACATTATTTGAAGCTTAATACATTTTGCATTCATCTGTAAGACTGTTAAATGGTATCTGGTATAGTAGCACTTATTTAGATTTCTATACTCCCCAAAAATTCCTTCAGTAAAGATATGTTTAGACAAACAAAAACAGAGAATTCATTGCCAACAGGACAGCACTAAAAATATCCTAAAAGAGAGTGCTCTCAAGGGAAGAAAAATGGTCTGAGAGACACACAGAATAAAGAAGGAATGAAAACCACTAGAAAAAGTAATTCTGTGGATATGTATAGGTCAAGATTAACTCTATAAAACAATATTAATAATATATTGAGGGATTTAGAATAAAATTTCATTGAAAAATAATACAAAAACATGAGTTAAAAAAACAAAACAAAACTCATAAGCCTAGCCAGAGTGGCTCAGATGTTTGAGTGTCATCCACTGAAAGGTTGCCAGTTTGATTCCAGGTCAGAGCACATACCTAAGTTGAAGGTTTAATGCCTAGTCAGGGCACATATGAAAGGCAACTGATCGATGTTTTGCTCTCACATGGATGTTTCTCTCTCTCTCTCACTCTCTCGCTATATCACTCTCTCTCTCTCTAAACATGTCTTTGGATGAGGATTAAAAATAAATAACATAAATGGAGTTAACATATTTTAAGGTCCAGTATTACTGGGAAAGTGGTAAAATTAAGAACTTTTACTAAACTGTAAAAAGTCAAGAATGTGAAATAAAACAGAGATGGCAGTGGAGTGAATGGAAGCTACACAGACCGTCTCCCAGAACCAAACTGGAATTACAACTAAAATAAAGACAAAACATAAAAAAAAAACACAAAAAACAAAAAACTGAAGAGCAAGTGGAAGAGAGACAGCATAACCAGGGACACAGAGAGGACACCAAATCAAGCCTGGTAGAAACTGTGGAGATGCATGGGGGGGGTGGATTGGGAGCCCAAGGACAGCAACAAGGGTTGTATTTGCAGTGTGCACTTCCCACTGAGAAAGTGAAAGTTTTAAAAAGCATCAAATCAGCTACCACCACACACCTTGGGCTCCAGCAGAGTGAGGGTGGACTGAACTGGAACTGTGTGGAGAGAGTCCAGGGCCCCTGGCTTAGGAGAGAGCTGAGAGCTGGATGGGAGGTCCCCAGGAGTCTTGTACTGAATCACTCCCTCACAGGACAGTAGTCATATTACTCAAAGAGCCCCTTCCCAGAGCCCGGAAGTAACAGCCCCTCCCACAGGAATACAACACCACCAGGCCAGGCCAATTAAATGCAAATTGGGGCTTATTAACATCTAAAGTCTGATAGCCAGAAAGTGCCCCACCCACTGGAAATCCTCTTACAGCTGAGGAACTTTTCATTTGGCTGCAGGCTACCAATCCAGGCTCATCAAATAAATGAGACTAATAGCCTCCAAGCAAAAAGGCAGAGGATAACTGAACCTTTCCTTTGCTTGCAAATCTACCCAGGAAAGTAGGATTTGACAGTGCATTCTCCAACACTCATCAAAACCCAGTAAAGGGAGCCACAACCAGCAGAATACCAATGCCCACAGGAAAAATTTGGCAGGTTCCAAAACCCACTGAAATAGCCAAAACAGCAAAACAAAGAAACAAATCCCAAATGAGAGAAGACAATAATTCTGTAGAAGAAGAAATAAACTATATAAAATTAAGCAAGATATCAGAGGGAGAGTTCAGAGTAACAATCATGAGGAAGCTCAACAGCATGAGTAAAGAGCTCAACAACATGAGTAAAGATATAGAAACATTGAAAACAACCAATTGGAAATAATGATATAACAGAAATAAAGAACACATTGGAAGGAAAAACAAACAGAGTAGAGGAAGCCAAGGACCAGATAAGTGAATTAGAAGACAAGGTAGAAAAAAAATCACCCAGTCAAAAAACCAAAAAGAAAAAACAATTAAAAAACAAGAAGACAGCCTAAGAGAACTGTAGGACAATATGAAACATAACAACATCTGCATCATAGGTGTGCCAGAAGAAGAAAATGAGCGAGGGTTACAGAATATATTGGAAAAAAATAGTGGTAGAAAACTTCCCTAGCCTGGTGAAGGAAAAAGGCATACAAGTCCAAGAAGCATAGAGAGCCCCAAATAAGAAGAACCCAAACAGGCCCACACCAAGACACATAATAATTAAAATGCCAAAAATTAAAGACAAAGAGAGAATCCTAAAGGCATCAAGAGATAAGCAACAGGTTACCTACAAAGGAACCCCATAAGGCTATCAGCTGACTTCTCAACAGAAACACCACAGGATAGAGGAGAATGGCATGAAATAATCAATGTAATGAAAAACAAGGATTTGAACCCAAAACTACTCTATCTAGCAAGGCTACCATTCAAAGTAGAAGGTGACATAAAGAGCTTCCCAGACAAAAAAAAAAGGCTAAGGGAATATATTCGCACCAAACCATAACTCCAAGAAATGTTAAAAAGACAGCTGTAATACGCAGAAGAAATAGGAAGAGAAACATAACCATAATAAACAAATATGATAATAAATAAGTACATATCAATAATAACTTTATTTTTTTATTTTTTTATTTTTTTATTTTTTTAATCCTCACCCGAGGATATTTTTCCATTTTTTGTACAGATAGAGTGGGAGGGAGGGAGAGAGAGAGAGAGAAACATCGACGTGAAGGGACACATCGAGTCATATCAATAATAACTTTAAAAGTAAAAGGATTAAATGCTCTCATCAATAGACGTAGCATAGCTGAATAGATGAGAAAGCATGACATATATATATTGTTTACAAGAGACCCACCTCACACACAAAAAGATTCACATAGGTTGAAAGTGAAGAGATGAAAAAGAATCTTACAAGCAAATGGAAAGGAAAAAAAGCTGGGTAGCAATACTCATATCCAATAAAATAAACTTCAAAATGAAGGCTATAACTAGAGACAAGGAAGGCCACTACATAATATCAAAAGAATCTATCGAACAAGAGGATATAATCTTAGTAAACATGTATGCACCTAACATAGGAACACCAAAATATATTTTTAAAACTTCTGGAGGACTTCAAAGGAGAAATCGACAGCAATACAATCATAGCAAGGGACTGACTTTAACACTGCTCTGACATCACTGGATAGATCCTCTAGACAAAAAATTAACAAGGATACAGAGACTCTAAATGATGCACTAGATCAAATGGATTTAATAAATAGCTATAGAGAATTACACCCCAAAACTGCAGAATTCACATTCTTCTCAAGTGCACATGGGACATTCTTAAAGAGAGATCACATGTTAGGACACAAACTAAGTCTATACTAGTTCAATAAGATTAAAATCATATCAAGCATCTTATCAGATCACAATGGCATGAAACTAGAAATCAATTACAACAAAAACAGGCAGAAACATTTAAACATATGGAAGCTAAATAGCAAGTTATTAAACAATGAATGGGTTACCAAGGGGATCAAGGAAAAAATTAAAAACTTCCTGGAAACCAATGAAAATGAAAACATGACAACATAAAATCTATGGGATGCAGTGAAAGCAGTCCAGAGAGGGAAGTTCATAGAAATACAAGCCTACCTCAGGAAATAAGAAACATTTCTAATCCTACAACTTAGAGAT